GCCAAAAATAAATTTACTCAAAATCACTTGAAATTATTTTTAAAGTCTCCACCCCACTTGTTATCTAAGGCAGTCACATCATTTATAATATTTAATTATGAAAAACAGCAGATCCATCTTCATCATTTATCAGTAGACATCCTTCAAATTCACCTATAACAATGTGACAAGAAAAATACAGTAAAGAAGATAAAATCCTTTGTTTACTGGTAAGATGATGGCATTGCAGTCTTCTAAAGGCACACAGTAGACTACATGTTGCAGAGAGAAAGTAAGTAGAGCAACACCCTGCCCATTTCTAACCTATCCAAAACTTAAATGCACCTGTGGGCTCAATCAATAAATGTTGCAGCTAAAATATTCAATCCAAGCTCCAAAGTTCATTCATTTTACTAAAAGGTGCACTTTAAAGCTGGGACTTTGTTCAGAACTCAAGTTTACTTCTAACAACGTGTTACATGGTTCACCTGCTCACATCAAAATAAAAGTCACTTGTCAGCCACGTGGGGAACTGCTTTAAGCAGGGCACACTAACAAGAGCAAAAATGTGTAACTGAGGGGCACAAAACAAACAGAAAGTTGGGGCCATTTAGGATAGAGACCATCAAGTTTACACAGGGAACTGAAGAAGCCTCCAAGGGCCACAGTCTTAAGTAATTAAGCTCAATTCCATTTGTATTCCCGAAGCTACCACTATTCCTTTCCTGGAGTCTCTCTTCCTTTAAGGCCAACTGTAGATTGTCTCCCTGGGTCCCTATTTCCTTTCCAAGCCCAGAGGTTCTTTATCATTAGGTTTTGTGGAAGGTGGAACCACAGTACTTAAGAGTGGGGCTCAGGTCAGACAATCTAGATTCAAATTCTAGCTCTCCCTTTACTGGCAAGTGACTGTACCTTTCTGAGCCTGAGCTTCCTACAGTGCAAAGCAGGAATAATTAGTATGTATCATCACAGGGTTGTTATAAAGATTAAATCAGATATCACACACAAAATGCTTAGAATAATAGTAGCTGGTCTATAACTAATGCTCAATAAATGTTAGCTATTTTTAATCACTTTAGGGTAAAGTAGCAACACTAAAAACAACACACTTAGGAAAGCAACAAGTCATTAAGGAGAGGCAAAACCTTGAGGGTACTCTATGAACAAATGGGATTACTTCAAGGGACCAATTCTACAGATATTTTGCAGATATGCACAAATAAATATGTAAAAAAAATGCTTACTGCAAGTATTTATGTAAGTATTTGTAGCAAGAAATGAAAAAAAAATCGATCACTATCATATACAGAATCCTAGGTAGTCATTAAAGAGAACAAATGAGAATTAAATGCACTAATGATCAATAATCTCGAAGAAAGATTAAGTGAAAAAAAAAAGGTGCTGAAAAACGTGTATAGCAGGATCCATGTTTTGTAGAGGTAGGGTGTACATAGTGCAAGTATGTGCATATGTACATATATGAATGTATGTGTGTAAACATACAGAAACAGTAACCCAATTTTTAATTTTTTAATTTTTATTTTTTGTAGAGACAGGATCTCTCTATGTTGTCCAGGCTGGCAACACAGAGAACTCCTGGCCTCAAGTGATCCTCCTGCCCCAGCCTCCCAAAGTGCTGAGATTACAGGGATGAGCCACTGCACCCGGCCAAGATAATCCAATTTTTAATAGTGGTTACCAGTAGAGGAAATGGGATTTCACTTTTTACTCTATATATTTTTGTGCTGTTTAACTTTTCATAATAAAACATATATTTGTGTTTTAAGTTTAAAAAACATTTAAGAATGGAGGACAAATAAATGTTATTTACAAATAAACAGAAGGGAAAAATAAAGGGAATAAAAATGTTCTATAATAAACATATTTCTATTAAAAGAAAAAATATTAAAAATGTGAATACATGCAGCTTCATCTGGCTTATGGAAACATGGGTGATTTTCCACTACCCTCTCTTCCTTCAAAATACCTTTTCACTCTGGACAGGTTTTACATTTCAAGGGAGTAGGGGTGGGAAGGAATCTGATTTCAAGGTAACTTGATAAATTTACTCACATGTAATCTGCCTCGAAGCTCTCGGTCATTTCTCATCTTCACATAAATTCGCTCATCTAGGCTGAGCCTGATAAGATCCAGGGGCTCCTCTACAGTGTTGGTAGTTTGTTGCTGATAACAGAAACAGGTTTAGTAATATAGTACTAGAGATAAAGTAGTGCTTAAATCACTGCTATGCTGTATGACCATGTGCAAGTTATTTAACCTTTTTCCACCTCAGTCTCCTAATCTGTAAAATGGAGATAATAGTATCTACCTAATACTGTTTTTATGAGGCTTAAGCGACATATATCAAGGCTTAGAACAGAACTTTTCACATAGTATGTGCTATATAAATGTAGATTAAAACACGCATACATAAGAAGGAGTTACACAGCAAAATAATCATGACTATACTTTGTTCCCTCAAAATCCAAACTGCCTGACCCGATTTCAGGGTATAGGGTCTTAGGAACTTTAGCTTTATCTCAAATATTATGTAATCATAGGAAAAACACTCACTTAATGCATACCATATACTAGTCAGAATGCCAAGTAGAGGTGTAGGTTTATGGGAAGATTATGAATTCAGCACAGGTTGAGGTTAGGCTGCCAACTGGCCAGTAAGATGAATATTTAGTAGCCAGAATAGAACACTGGTTCAAAGCACTGGCTTAGCCAGGCATGGTGGCATGTGCCTGTAGTCCCAGCTACTCCGAGGCTGAGGTGGGAGGATTGCCTGAGCCTGGGAGGTGGAGGTTGCAGTGAGCCAAGATGGTGCCAGCAAGCAAGCAAGCACTGACTTTGGAGTCAGGCAGTCCGGGTTCAACTCCTGGCTGTGACCTGACACTTATGAACTGAGATTAAAAATCATGCCATCTGTAATTCTCAGATTCTTCATTTGTAATTGAGAAAGCCACAACCTTCCTTTTGGATTCTTATGAGGATGAAACTAGTTAATGCATTTAAAACAGTGCCAGGAAAGCAGAAAATATTAATACTTAGAAATGGTTCCTATTGGCTGGGCGTGGTGGCTCACGCCTGAATTCCAGCACTTTGGGAGGCTGAGAAAGGCAGATCACCTGAGGTTAGGAGTTTGAGACCAGCCTGGCCAACATGGTGAAACCCCGTCTCTACTAAAAATACAAAAATTAGCCAGGCGTGCTGGCACGTGCCTGTAGTCCCAGCTACTTGGGAGGCTGAGACAGGAGAATCGCTTGAACCAGGAGGCCAGAGGTTGCAGTGAACTGAGATGACGCCACTGCACTCCAGCCTGGGCGATAGAGTGAGACTCTATCCAAAAAAAAAAAAAAGAAAAGAAAAGATTCCTACTAATATTATATTATTAAAGAACTGCTGGAAACAGTGGTTTTAGAGGTCAGGGCTAGGATGACTTGGGGTCACCCACATGGAAGGGAGGGTTGCAGCCATTAAAGAGTTAGATGATTCAAGGAGAGCTTCTTTAGTAAGTACACAAGGCCAGTGGAGGAAGGTAACTGAATTCGTAACAGGAGCTAAAGATTCAAAAGGCCCAATGAGAGAAAAAAAAATAACCTAACTCAACTGGTCCCTATGTCCCTCAGTTCAACAGGTGTTTGTTAAAGGATCAGATAACTAACTGTTAGATTACAATGATACAGAAATCACAATCTCCACCCTCAAGGAGCTCATTCTAATGTGGATAGGCATATGAATAATTATAATACTGTAAGAATATGCACATGACAGAGCTCTACTGCTACCTAAGCCTCTGTCTGGATGCCCACTTTCTGTTCTTTTCATCCTGTAGCTTTATACATTGGCTTTTAAAAGAGGCCTCCTCTGATCATCTAACTCATTCACTCAAATATTTGTTGAGTATTTCCAGCACTGTTCTAAACCCCAAGGACAAAAGAATGAACAAAACAAAATCCCTACTGTTATGGCACTTACATTCTAGTCAGGAGAGATACACATTAAACAAAGATGCATACATTTAATATGAAAAAATAACGTTCTATGAAGAAAAATGAGGCAGGGTAAGCAGAGTAGGGGGAGTGCCATTTGGGCAGAAGTCCTCTCTGAGGAGGTGAGATTTCAGTAGAAAGTTTAAGTTGTAGCATGATCTCCAAAGATATTTGAGGAAGAAAAAGACCAGGTGAAAAAGCTTCTAGGACCATCTGTTATTCTGCATACTAGTTCCTTGTTTCCTTCATAGCACATCACAGTTCCTATAAATCTTACATATTTATATTTATCTGTTCTCCTCGCGAATATAAGCTCCAAGTCATGGCAAGGATCACTTATATATCGATGTCAGTGTCCCTGGCTCTTAGAACAGTGTCTAACCATACAAAGCTGATGTTCACTCTCTCTGCTGAATGAGTAAATAATTGTTGTGCTCAGTAATGATAACAACTCCTAACTTTATTATCTGGCTTTCTATTGGAATCCTGACAGCTCCGTGAGGTAGGCACGCATAATAATTTACAGATTTAAAAAAACGAAGCGAAGAGTGTGACGAATAGTCATCAGGTGGCCTTCTAACGGAAAAGATCTCAGGGCCTGCAGGAAAATTCGGACAGGGGTGTTTACGGAAAGGATGGGGCGGATTAGGCCGTGTGACTTGGAAAGAAGAGGCGCGACTGGCCATTTTTCCTGAGTTTGGAAAAAGCAGTTTAGTACAAGAAGCGGCTCCGAGCCACCGCCTTAAAATTCACTCACCTGGTCTACGTCGTCCGCCATGTTTCAAACCCTGCGCCCTTTCACGCCTCTCGCGAGAACACAAGAGCAACGCCGAGCTCCGGAAACGTGATGCTACAATACACCGGAAATAGAAACCTGTTGTGCTCTTGCCTGCTTCCCGTGGTTTTTTAGTGGCCACGGGTATGGGGCGGAGCTTCCTTTGGGGGCGTGACTAGGCCTCCAACGAAGGGGCGTGGCCAGACGCGCCCGCCTCGGGGCGGGGCCTGCGTTCTAACGCATCGCGGCCTGGTGCGTCACTCGCGAAGTGGATTTTTCCCCGACAAGCAATATGGCTCGGAAGCGCGCGGCCGGCGGGGAGCTGCGGGGACGCGAAACGCGCAGCCAGAAGTCCAAGGCCAAGAGCAAGACCCGGCGTGAGGAGGAGGAGGGTGAGAGCGTGGCCCAGCGGGCTTCGCGGGAGACTCTGCCGGTGGGCGGAGGAGGCCCAGAGGCAGGGGCGGCGGGAGTCCAGACGCGGAGGCCGGGTGGAGGTTGCTGCGCGCGTTCCGCGCAGTGGGGGCAGCACGGCAGGCCGCGGCCGGCCCTCCCCGCTGTCCCTGCGCCTTTGTGCTCTGCACCCAGAGCGGCTTTCCGTGAGCCTCGCCCGACCCAAGCTTCTGCGTAGCTTCTTTCCCGCTCCCCGTTGTCCAGAGGATACAGCGCAGATGTTCAGGGTTCAACGCGGAGAAGGCAGTTATTTGTGTCCCAGGAAAACGGACGGACGGAGCAGGACGTAGAGTGATGCAGTGTGCTGACTCCCGAATGATAACTTCAGCTGAGTCTCGCCCAGAGTTCCACAGTGGGATCCCACCTGACTTCCCCTCGTGGATATTGGATAGGCTTCTTACATTTGTCATGGACAGTGCAGAGCTCAATGTCTTCCCCTTCAAATCTATGCTTTCCTCCGTTTTTCCAGTCCCAATACTTGTTATAAAGCAAAGTCCACCTTTTTCTTATGTGCACACATCCAGTCCCGTCAGCAAGTCCAGTCAGTTCAGCCTCAGACTGTATTTCAAATTTGTCCACTTCTCTTTATTTCCATGGCCACAACCCCTGTCCAAGTCACCATCACCTTTCAGTTGAGTGACTGCAGTTTCCTCTTTACTGGCCTCCCAGCTCTGCATCCAGCAACGCAAATAATCTTTAAAAAAAAAAAAAAAAATCATGCCATGCTCCTGCTTTAAACTCTCCTTGGTTTTCCATTGCTTTTAGTTTAAAATCCAGTTGTCTTATCCTGGCCTGCAAGATGCTACGTGTTTTGGCTCTTGCTACCTGTCCTGTTTCTCCTACCACTTGTTTCCTTGCCAGATACCCTCCTCATTGGCCTCCTTTCTCTTCCTCAAATATGCCAAGTTATTTCTTGAGCCTTTTCCTGTGATATTCCTTCGGCCTAGAGTGACCCCCCACCATGGCTTTTGCCAGGGCTGATTTCTTCAAATCTCAAGTCAGACATTCCTTGAGCAAACTAAGGTAGTCCTTCCCAGATACCCCGTGGATACTAAAACCTGTGATGCTCAAGTACCTTGTATCAAATGGCCTAGTGTTTCCATGTAATCTATGCGCATACTCCGACATACTTTAAATCATCTCTAGATCACTTGTAATATCTAATACAATGTAGATGCTGTGGAAATAGTTGTCATACTATAGTTTTAAAATTTGTGGGTTTTCTTTTTCCCGAAATATATTCATCTGTGGTTGGTGAATCTGTGGATGCGGGGCCCGTCGATTGGTAGGGCTAAGTGCTAAATAAATATTTTTTATTTTTTATTTTTTTCGAGATGGAGTCTCACTCTGTCGCTGAGGCTGGAGTGCAATGGCATGATCTCTGCCTCCCAGGTTCAAGCGATTCTCCTGCCTCAGCCTCCTGAGTAGCTGGTATTACAGGTGACTGCCACCATGCCCGGCTAATTTTTGTATTTTAGGAGAGATGGAGTTTCGCCATGTTGGCCAGTCTGGTCTCTAACTCCTAACCTCAGGTGATCCTTTCGCCTCGGCCTGCCAAAGTGCTGGGATTATAGGCATGAGCCACTGTGCCTGGCCAATAAATATTTTAAATAATTGCAAAATGCAGGCTGTAGAAGGAATTTCTGGGTCTCCTGAAATAACTGGGTAGATTAGGTAACCAACAAAGGCTATCACACTCGATTCTGTGTTTCTATACCGATTATAAGTTCATCATCCATTAGAAAATAGTCAAATGGTAATAATTCCTAAACTTAGAAGGTGATTTACCTCATATGTAATATTTTGAGTTCCATTTTATTCATTTACTCGTTCATTCAAAAAACATTTTGAGTACTATGTGCTGCACATGAATGAGGTGACATGGGAGATAAACGTATCTTGGAGGATCATAGAGTAGTGTTGACATGACATTTGCATGTAAGACATGCAAGGCAGAGTGTGCTAAATACTGTGGAAGAAGGTACAAGGCTTTGTAGCTTCCAGAGGGTTAATCAAGTTTGACTAGCATGATCGGGGAACGCTTTCTGAAGTTGTTTGATCTGTGATTTAAAGGATGGTTGCTATTTTAGCAAGGGGTCACAAAAAAGGGGCTGGTATTCTAGTCAGAATGTAATTTGGATATATGGCAATTAAAAATTAAAGGTTGTAATCTGATGGAAATGCTACCTGCATTCCTCCCAGCTCAACACTTCACCTGGGTTCCAGCTTGGTAGAGCTTCAATTCTTAGTTATATGCACTTGGGTGAATTATTTTGGACAAGTATTTTAGCCCTTCTAAACTTCTTCTATGAACTATAATAACTGCTTTGCAGGGTGGCTGTGAGTTTTCAATGGGATAGCATATAAAGCCAAGAGCTTTAGCTTTACCCATGTTAGGTAATTAGTTGGGCTAGCTGGTGTCATTCAGCCTAAATGGAGGTAAGGATGCACCCAAGTTTACTCTGCTAGCCAGAGGAGCTAGCAGTCAGTTCCCAAGGCAGCTTCCAATCTGCAGAGTTACAACTTTTGTTGTGGTTTGGTGGTTTGTTGGGGAAGCATAGACTTAGCAAGTGTGGTTTGGGCTGCAGGTGACAATAATTTGGTGACTGTCAGTGTAGTTTCTAACACTGTAATAGTGTAGGTTTTAACAGCACCCCTGTACATGCAAATGAAGGTGATACTTGGCTGCTTTCGACAAATAGGAAAAAAGAAAACAGGCTTCCATATGATTTCCTTTGTGTTACTAAAGCACCTCTGGTTTCTTTGCATTTCTTCTCTATGTTAACACCTTCGGTGATAATCCGTTAACTCCTTCAACAGCTGTTTATTGAGCGCCTACTATTTTCAGGCACTGTTTCAGGTACTAGGATAATAGTGGTGAACAAGACAGGTGAGGCACCTGCTCTCATGATTATAATCTGGGGGGAGGGGTAAGTAGAACAGATAACAAGTTAAAAAAAAAAAAAAACAGATTCACATAATGGTAAGAGCTATCACCCTGTGTTAAGACTGCTGTGATAAAACTTATTTGGGTACATAGCAGAAAATGCTTCTATAGATGGGGGAAAAAAAAAACCCTCAAACTTAAATGGGGCTGGGAAGGGGCAGCTAAATGGGAATCAGTGTCAGGGAAGGCCTTTGTAAGGAGATGGCATTTTGAGGCAGTTAGTGTAATTTTGAGCCATTCATAGGAAGTTCTGGGGAAAAGAGTTCTAGGCAGAGAGGACAGTGTTTAAACACTCTTAGGAGGGAATGAACATGGCCAGTTGGCTGGACACAGTGAGTGAGGGGCTGGGTAGGAGAAGTGGGCAAGGGCCTGAGCTTGGATACCAAGCTAAGGAGTTGGAATTTTATTCTGAGTGCTGTGAGTTGCTGCTAGAAGGTTTACTCTGGTGTTCTTATTACATCCCAGTAGATGGGCAAGCAGACCACAGTGGTAATTCCTGCCCTACTGAAAGAACGCTGAGCTCGAGGAGGCTGGTTAGGCATATTAGATCACTCAAGATTTTGGAGAGTCCTGGAAAAGAGTCTCTAGGTGCTTAGGTACCAAAGAATAGCAAAGAATAGAAAGTCACCCGTATTTCTGCCATCCAGAAATAGCCACCATGAAATAATGGTCTGTTTCCTTCTAGTCTGTTTTTTACATAGCAGAAAGCATGCTGTAAAATCAACTTTGCGTGATTAACATTACATCATCTATCGTTTTTCTTTATCTTAAAGGATGACTCAATTATATTTTGTTGTGTGGCTCTGCCCTAAGTTACTTAACAATTATCTTATGGTTGTATGTTCAGATTATTGTTAGATGCTTTTGAATACTATGAACATCCTTTTGATTCAGAGTTTTGTGTTTCCTTTTTCCCCCCTTTCCTTTTTAACTCCTCTACCTTTCTCTTCAAACACAGAAATAAAAGCTATGCTTTTTAACCAACCAGAAAAGTTTGTGATGCCTCTGAAGTATCCTCCTACCTGCATTTTTTTTAGATTAGTAGACAGTGAAGTATTTCGCATCTTTGCCTATTAGAGGGCTAAATACCATTGTAAGATCCAGAAATCTTAATTTTAGGGCACCCTCCTCAAACTGTCAAATCTTAAGCTTTATGCAGCCTCTGGCCTTGGAATCGGCAGTCGGTTCTCAGATTTGAAAAAATTAGTTTTGAAATATTTTGCACTTCAAAATTTTTCCTTATTTTTTGGTTTCCACTAAAATGTTTAAAAATGGGAATACATAAATTCCTTTTTTATAAAACATTTAAAGAAACAACGGAATCAGTGATTTATCTAGCATTAAAAGAAATGCTCCTTTGATATGAATTTTATTAACATTTAATAATGATTTCATCTAGATCAGAGGGAGAGTCTTTTTTCCCTCATGCAAAAATTTATATTCTTGTGGAATATAAATACCTATCCAGAGAGTCAGCAAGGCAAACAATGAAAAGGCAGAATTATTAAATAATTTTATATTTTAGGTTAACGTTGCAATCCCTTATGGAACCTCAATAAAAAGTAGAGTATTTTTATTTTCTAAAATTAATTGAAGCAGAGTCATGCAAAGACAAAAGAGGATTTATTTCAGATTCAAGATCATTTGTGTGAATATATTTGCAAAATAGAAAACTATCCTTCCCTGCCATATTGTTATTTATTAAAACTAATCTATTAATATAATTATTATATGTAAATAAACCATAATTTTAGATACCCCAATTTGACTAAAACCAGCAGCTTATGCATTTTTTATTTCCCTTTAACAAAAAATAGTTATTTTAAGAAAATACTTTTGAATTATTGCTGTCTTTTTCCAACTGTAAGTTTGCTGAGGTGGTTGGTATACGAGTGCCATTTGGGTTACATTGGAAAGGTTTCAGAGCAGTATGTGTTTTGAGCAGTTTGGTCTTGAAGGTTGGCAGAAATGTAGATTAATAGTAATGATGTGGTAAAACTTGGAAATGTTTATGTACTTAACATTTTACTTAAGAGGAGTGCATTATCCCTAAGACAAACAATTAGTCTTGGCAGATGATAAATAAATAGGGTGCTAATTAATGGATGTTGTATTTTCTTGGCAGGAATCGTGTTGTATTTTCCTTTCCAGGATGTTGTATTTTCCTGGCTGACATTTAAGATCTGGAAGTTAGGTTTTATTTGACTCCTGTGGTATTTTCTGTAGTCATAGGAAAAGTAAAGTGCTGATAAAGGAAAATGGTTTTTTACTATAAACATAGACTAGCCGCAGGTGGGTAGAGGCTGAGAGCTGGTTGCTGACCAGACAGGGGATGGTGAACAGGTGATGGAGATCGGGTTTGGAGACAGATCATAGAGCCTTTTCATTCGCTTACCCATAAGCTGCTCTGCCTCCACCTTTCCTTCCACCCCTCACCTCATGTTCTGTATGGTCACCTAGATGCCTTTGAAGATGAGAAACCCCCAAAGAAGAGCCTTGTCTCCAGAGTTTCACAAGGAAAGAGGAAGAGAGGCTGCAGTGATCCTGGGGGTTCAGCAGGTGGTCCAGCAAAAAAGAAAGTGGCCAAGGTGACTGTTAAATCTGAAAACCTCAAGGTTATAAAGGATGAAGCCCTCAGCGATGGGGATGACTTCAGGTGAGATGCCTGCAAAGCTGTGTCTCGGGTCTTGGTTTTTCTCATCAGAGAATTGTGAGTAATGAAAACCTCTATTCTTACTTGTCACTGGGGTCCATGGAAGTTTGGATCTTTAAGCTCTTCTAGGTACAACTCAGACCTGTAAGAACTGGAAACTTTACAGATAAGAACAGTGACAGTGTGCAGAAAGTGATTTGTTCATGCTTCCACAGCCAGACAGTGGCAAAAGCAGGAGAACCCAGGTCTTCTGACTCCTGGTCCAGTGTTCTTTCTACTACACAAAAATATTAGATATATCACAAAATATTTACCTGCCATTCCAGCTTTATCTCATACTACTTTCCTCAAGCATGCTCTTCTCTGGCCCACCTGGACTTCTCATCATTCACTGAACACATTCTCGTACTTTCTGCACCTGCATTGTGCTCATGGTATTCCCTCTACCTGGAGTGCTTGCTGGCTTCCATCTTGAAGATGCAGATCCAAAACCACCTACTCTAGAGGCTTCACTGATTCTTCCCCCTTCTCTCCTCTGATTTCCTGTAGTGCTTCTAGGGAGTGTGATATGTCTGCCAGTTATTGTTACCACGCCACATACCGAGGCTTACTACCCTGTGACCTCTCAGAGAGCTGGAACCATGTGGGGTTCATTTTCATATGCCCTGTAGCATCGATTGCAGGGCCTTTTATTTGGCAGAAACTGAAAAAGTATTTTTGCAGTGAATGAGCATTTATAGTAATATGTTGTGAACAATAATTATGAGCCCAGGGAACACTTGGTTATCTACCTCTTAAGAAAGTTGAGGGGTGGGGAGAAGAGGAAGAACAGAGGGGTAGTTGTTCCTTTGCTTCTTAAACAAATCCTCACTCCCAGTATCTGCTTTTCCAGCAGCCTCTAGTCCTGGCGTGAGAGAGTAGTCCAGTAGAGAGCACAGGAAGGGACACGGGACAGCATGCTGATTTTCTGCCATGGTTCATCTCTTCTTTTCTCTAGACTTCCCTTCCCTTCCCTTCCCGTCCCGTCCCGTCCCGTCCTGTCCTGTCCCCGTCCCCATCCCTGTCCCGTCCCGTCCTTAATGGAGTCTCGCTCTGTTGCCCAGGCTGGAGTGTAGTGATGCAATCTTGGTTTACTGCAACCTCTGCCTCCCAGGTTCAAGTGAGCCTCCTGAGTAGCTGGGACTGTAGGCGCCCACCACCATGCCTGGCTAATTTTTGTATTTTTAGTAGAGATGGGGTTCCACCATGTCGGTGTTGAATCCTGACCTCAGGTGATCTGCCCAGCTCAGCCTCCCAAAGTGCTGGGCTTACAGGCATGAGCCACTGCGCCCGGCCTCCCCTAGACTTTTCTGAAGAATGCCTCTGACTTACTACTTTCCAATTGCCTCCCCTCACTAGTTGAATTGTATCTCCAGAGACATATACATAGAGATAGGCCATGATACTGCCAAGGAAAGCTCTGAGTTCCCCTTTCCCTCTCCTCTGAGCACTGACTGTGGTAATTTCTGCTATGTTCATTCTAAGGGGAAATTTTTATTGCTGTGGTGTTGAGGGAAAGTGGTACCCTAAAAAAAGAGCATATTACTAGAGCTCAAGATTGATGATTGGTTATTTTAAATGTTTATACCAAAATCCTAGATAATATTCTCACTTGGTACCAAGTGCCAAAGTTTACACAAGTTAAAAGTAACTGGATACTCTAGACACATTTTGTATATGAATTTGCAGAAATATATTACGAATCAGCAAGTACTTAGTCTTGAACCGTTGTATAGCCAACTACTTATCTATGTTATTATCTATTTAGCTAGCTAGCTGTCTATGTATCTTGTTATTTATGACTCACCTATGTGTAGTGACATCCCTGCTTGAAGTTAGAATGCTACGAACAGAAATATGATGTCTCCTTACATCATATTTCTTAAAGATGGAAAAGAAATCTGAGTAGGCTTATAGTAGGATAAGTAAATGTAAATTTTATTCTCTTCTTTCTGGCCTCCAAATGCACGTAAATCACACAGATATCACAGTTCTGGAACTCATGTTATTATTTTGGTGTCTTCTAACTTTTCCTTGTCATGTCCAGGCACAGCTATGTTTTCTTTCACACAGATCTAGATTGGAGGTTTTTTGACAGCACATCTGGTATGTATTAGGTGATCAGAGCACGTCTTGATGAGATGTTGAAACACGTGTTGATGGAGGAAGTGAGGCTCAGCGCTTACTAATCATCTTTAAATAGTTGCCACAGATTCTCAATAAATAGGAGAGGTTTTAAAAATTCCGTTTAGCTTGAATGGAACTCTAGGATATCGGAGTCTTCTTCATCTTCCTTCCCGTGGTCTTTACACAGGGACTTTCCAAGTGACCTCAAGAAGGCACACCATCCGAAGAAAGGGGCTACCATGAATGAAGACAGCAACGAAGAAGAGGAAGAAAGTGAAGATGACTGGGAAGAGGTTGAAGGTGAAACGTCTCTGTTTTTCAGAACTCTTTGGTTCTGTTTGTTTTTTTTTTTGTTTGATTCTGTTTGGAGTCAAATCACTAATTGCAATCCTGTTGTTTCCTTTTGAGCTAATTAGACCACAGACAAGGTTGTACCAGGGACTTGCTTTGCTATATATGGAAAAACTCATGGCCAAGTTACCAAAGAAGGCTGTTTACTCTCTTTCTCTGGTGACTGTCAATGGGGTAGATATAAATAGAGAGGCAGCACTATTTAGAAGGAGCAGAGGCTTTGAAAGTAGTTAGAACTGAGTTCAGTGCTCAACTTTGCCACTTAGGTAGCAGTGTGAGTGAGTAATTTAATCTTGAGCAAGTAACTTCACCTCTCTGAACTGAGTTTCTCATTAGTAACACTCTGTAAACACCGAATGTTTAGTGTGAGCCATTCACAGTACAGGCTGTAGGATTATTGTGGGGAAAAGAAAGTTTGCAAATGTATCATACACTCACGGTAAATACCAGCTAATGTTATCATCCTTGATTCCTTCTGTCTGACCTGACTTTTCCCCACCTTTTTATTTTGAAAGTGTTCAAATTTATCAAAAAAGTGAAAAATGTAATATATGTCCTCTTCTCCTAGGTTCATTAACATTTTGCCACATTGAATGTATGTTTCCCTCTGTAAATATTCATTGTGGAACCATTTGAAAATAAGTTGTAGGCCGGGCGCAGTGGCTCAAGCCTGTAATCCCAGCACTTTGGGAGGCCGAGACAGGCGGATCACGAGGTCAAGAGATCGAGAGCATCCTGGCTAACACGGTGAAACCCCGTCTCTACTAAAAAATACAAAAAACTAGCTGGGCGAGGTGGCGGGCGCCTGTAGTCCCAGCTACTTGGGAGGCTGAGGCAGGAGAATGGCGTAAACCCAGGAGGCAGAGCTTGCAGTGAGCCGAGATCCGGCCACTACACTCCAGCCTGGGCAACAGACTAGAATTCGTCCCGAAAAAAAAAAAAGAAAATAAGTTGTAGATATTCTGATATTCCACTGCTGAATACTTCAGCATGCATTTCCTAATAATTAGACATTCTCCTGCATGACAAAATGACCTCATCACACCTAAGAAAATGAAAAATAAGTCCCCAATTGTTACAGAAACATCCTTTATAACTGTTTCTTTTTCCACACCAAGATCCAACCAAGCCTTGTATTTGATCATTATGTCTCTTCAGTCTCTTAATATAGAGCAGTAGCTCCCGCCCACCACCTTGTTTTGCTTTTCATAGCACTGCCTTTTTTGAAGGGTCGTAGTCTTTTGTAGACTGTCTCATGTTCTGGTTTTGTCTGATAAACAGTCACATATCTTTTGATGTTGTTAAACTTGTTTCAGTATCCCTGTATTTCTTGTAAACTAAATCCAAAGATGTGATTTAATTTTTATTAAACTTTTTTTTTTTTTGGGCAAGAATCCTTCCTAGGTGATGCTTTAAACCTTATCTTGCATTAATTAAGCCACCTCTAATGTCAGATTGTTCCTCTTCTAGTCATGCTACCTTTAAGCTAGCTGTACTACCATGTCCTTTTGACATGGCCTCATTAGTCTTTGAGAACATTTTTGTTCGGCTTATACTTTTCTTGCTGTAGACTTGAAACCAGCTTTTGTTCTTCAAGAAGCTGTGGTTCATTTTAATAGAGATTCGTGTATAGAGACCAAGATCTGGCATTAGATGCATTCTTTGCCAGTGAGATGTCATGGCTTCTAGGCCCAGATCCTCTTTTAAGAAACTTTTGCTAATGAAGTTTTCAATTAGATCCAGTTCAGCAAGTTTAGTCCTTTTCAGCTACTGTATACAAGCAATATAGGGAGCGAAGAGATGAAAAGGATGTATTTCTTGTCACTTTGAGAATGAAAGACGGACACCTAAGTCATGGCTCTATACAAAGCAAATTGTGCTAATTGTTATAGTGATATAGAATGCAGAGAAAAGGAGATTATTCTCATTTGACTTTTTTTTTTAAAAGAGTTTTAAGTATATACATACATGCATGAGTGTCAGCTTTTTAATAGAGGGGTCTGTATGCTTTAGGTCCCTTATCTAAAGACTGCCTGGGTCATGTGGGTTAAATGAGACACATGGATATTTAACACTCAGCATAGTGCCTGGCACATGGTAGGACTCAGGGCAGGGCATGCCTAGGGGTCTCTGCGGGCTATCTCTCTCACATTCATGCCTCACTTCCTCCTTCCCAGCAGAACCTTGATTCTGTTCAGTACAGTAGGTTTTATTGTTGTTATTACTATTACTGATTTTTTTAAATGCTCGTTGATAGAACTTAGTGAGCCTGTGCTGGGTGACGTGAGAGAAAGTACAGCCTTCTCTCAATCTCTTCTGCCTGTGAAGCCAGTGGAGATAGAGATTGAAACGCCAGAGCAGGCGAAGACAAGAGAAAGAAGGTAAGCTTAGACCCTTGCTTCTAGGCTCCTGTCACATGTAGTTGGCAACAGCTGCTGCTTTAGGAGGACTTCGGAGAAACTTGTAGGGGACCAGGACTGAGTATCAAAGTTTTTGAGAACCTTGGGTCAGGAACCTGATTTACCTTTAGAGACTTGAATGAGACACCTTTGTGTCCTGGCTGGGGTGGGGGATGAGGAGAGAGAACTCCTGTGTGCCAAGGATTGAGCGGGTCATCCGTTATCTTACCTAATCCTTAGAAAAGTGTTATGAATGAGGAGCCAGAGGCTCAGAGACACTAAGTAATGTTTCAGGAGTCACTCAGCCAGTAATTGAGGACCTGAGACCTAATCCTTCTCATTGACTTGGGATTCACGTTTTCCCTACCATGTCACGCTGCAGGACTTGAGGCAGTGCCCACCGTGGTAGGGAGCCCCTATCCTTCCCAGCATCCTGGAGTACCTCTGCAGCCTCTGATGACCTGGGAATATGGAGCCTCTGATGGCTTGGGAAGTACACTGTGCGATGGGCACGTTACTAGGCACAGAAGAGGGAGATAATACAAATCATTCAAGAAGTGTCAAGTTGTCTGGAAAATTTATGGTATATAGACTGAAAGAGATTTTACACTAGAACAGTGTTACGTAAATGACGGTGTGTTAATTTAACATTAATAAAGGTAATGGCTGCTAAGTAGAGAGTCAGTAGTCGGACGAGTTGGATAGCCAGAGAAGACATCCTGGAAGAAGTGAGCTTTGAGGCATGTAGGTGAGGTGTGGTCTGCTGTTGGTTGAGAGGACGGTTGTCTGGGTACAGAATGTCCCAGGCCAAGGTTTGCTGATGAGAAGGAGCCAAAGAGCCTACAGGAAATAGCTGGGTTGCAGATGGACTTGAGTAGCACAGCCTTGTGTAGGGAAACAGGGAGAGTGATTCACTGTCATCCAAGGAGAAGGAATTGCCTGGGGGAGTGGAATCTGGTTTCAGTTCCCCACTTCATTCCCAGATTTTTCACTATGTTTGCAGTGAAAAGATAAAACTGGAGTTTGAGACATATCTTCGGAGGGCGATGAAACGTTTCAATAAAGAGGTCCACGAGGACACACACAAGGTAAGGGCAAGGGATGATGGGGAAGGACTGTTCGTTGTCGGCGGTAAGAGCTTGTGCTCACCAAGGCTTTATTTCTGGCTTTGCTGCTCACTCTGTGGCCATGGCAAGTTTCTTACTCTCTCTGAGCGTTTGTGTCCTCATCGGGGAAGTGGGGGTAGTAATAATATCTGCCTGGGAGGGTGGTTCTGTATTATAGTTAAGGTAACTTACAGCACAATGCCTGGCATGCAGCAGAGGCTAAATAATGAGTACTTGCCTTCCATCTCTCCTTTCAGCCATTTAATATCATTAATTCTAATCCCAGCTGCAGGCACTGGCTTTTAACTTTACCTGATAATTATTGAACACCTGTACACACCTAGCAAGGTGCTTGGTGTGGTGGGGATAGAGACTTGGATAAAGCTTATTTCCTACAATTGAGGAGTATCTGATCTCTAGATGGAACATGGACTTCCAAACAGAGAAACTCAAGACTATGCCTGAAACAGTGAAAGAGATCAGCATGGCTCTGTGGAGCCGGGCAAGGCTTTATGTAGGAGAAAGGATTAGAGCCGGGTCTAGGAGAAAAAGTTGAAGACTCTAGCCAAGTTGTGGAGGGGATGGCAAGGTGCCCAGCTCACCTGCTGTGTGGAGTGTATAGGTTGGGGGGTGGAGGTGAAGGGAGGGCAGGCTTTGGTTTCCCTTTGATGGATGGTGGGCTGCCAGAGAGGATAGCGATGGGATGGGGGAGATGCTTTATGTGCAGCTGCTCCAGAAATCTAGAGGTGCGAGGACAGTGATGAAGTTAGAGAGGGTCGCCTCCTTCATCCAGGCCTGGGGCAAGAAATGAGACAGCTTTGTGCCTTTCACCTCTTGTTGGGTGCTGGAGGTGAAAGAAAGGGAAGATGACTCTCAGGTTTGAGACCTGAGTGAGGAAAGAGAGGCAGCACTATTGATTAAAATAGAGCGACTGTTAGTAGGGGAGGAGGAAGCCAAGGTTGAAGGGAAAATGACGCAAAGCAGTGTGTGAAAAGAGGGGAAGAGGCCATATAATCATTTTAGTAGGTGGATGAAGGGTGGGTTTTGGGGTCAGAGGAAGGGCGAAGATGTAGAGCCTGTGACAGAAGGTTGGGCTCAAACACCCAGGGAGGTGGTGAGAGCAGCCCAGTGAGCCCAGTGAGCTACGTCCCACCACCGGCTTCCACAGGCTTCCAGCAGTCTCGCCAGCTCCACCTCACTTGCCTTTCCTCCTGATCTCGTGGAGCAAACCCCAGTTATGACAGCATTTCATCCAGAAATCTTTCAGTATGTATCTCTAAAAGACAAGACCAAAACAAAAACAGTTTGTATTTTGAAGCTTTGAGTTTTGATGATTCCTTTGAAGGAATGAGTATACAGAGAGAAAAAGAGAAGGTGAAAGACAGGCTTGGGAAGTGGCCAATACTAGTATTTTTACTTTCTTATATGTAGAAATGGCAACACATATTTCTTGCCCACAGGATGTCTTGATTTTGGCAGCAAAAGTTCCTCCTGGTCTCTGGCCTGCCTTCCATGCTGCCCCTTCCTCCTTTCCTTTTTACAGGTTCACCTTCTCTGCCTGCTAGCAAATGGCTTCTATCGGAATAACATCTGCAGCCAACCAGATCTGCGTGCTATTGGCCTTTCCATCATCCCAGCCCACTTTACCAGAGTGCTGCCTCGAGATGTGGACACCTACTACCTCTCAAACCTGGTGAAGTGGTAAGGCCCTCCGCCTGTCCTGCAGAGCTGGGGAGTGTAGGATTTGTGTTCCTCTCAGAGGCTGTGTTCAGATCACTTCCACAGACCTTCCCTGAGGTGGTAACTGTGGATCAGGTAGTGGGCATGGCATTGAAGATAGAGAAATGCCAGGCATGATCTTGCCCTGGTGTAGCTCCCAGACTGGTGGGGAGACAAATACATACCAGGTAATTACAGGGTGGCATGAGGAGTGCCCTGAAAGGGGTGTTCTGGGAACTGCATGCTCACAGTGCAGGGGCGCTTTTCTCAGCTGGGAGATCTGAGAAGGCTCCCCAAGGAGGTAAAGTCTGAATTGGGTCTGCAGTGATGAAAGGAGTTAGCAAGACAGGCTGGGGAAAGCAGGACAGGGGCCGGCGGGTCTCACAATTCACTCCCTCTTTTGATTTTCTTGGCTGTAAATGAAGATTCCCATTTGCCCTGACCTCTGACACAAGGAATGCCTGCTTTCTCCCCAGGTTCATTGGAACATTTACAGTTAATGCAGAGCTTTCAGCCAGTGAACAAGATAACCTGCAGACTACATTGGAAAGGAGATTTGCTATTTACTCTGCTCGAGATGATGAGGAATTGGTCCATGTAAGTGATTCCTTCCAGATCACTGTTTTTTATCAGTACTGTTAACTAATGATAATGGCAGCCATGTGCCAGATGCCATTCCAAGTGTGTTACCAACACGACCTCAGTCAGTCCTCGTAATGACGTTGATAGCTGCTGAAGCTCAGAATAGCTACTTGATGCCTCTAAGATCTTTTCCTTGGTGAGCCTGAGAATCGAGATTGGGATTGGAGTCTGAGTGGCAGGCCTGCGTGCTTTCCTCCCTGTCACCTCTAGTGCTGGTGTACCAAAAAGCCCATAATTTTTGGTCAGATGTGCTAGAAATATTTTCATTAATTATTCCAATTTTGTCTTCAAAAGTCCCAAGGAAATGTTTTTTCAAATGGGATGCTGAAGTCCTTGAGAACGTGTTTTTGTATCTCACATTTGGGTGATGACACTGGCAGGCAGCAGTGCAGTGAGGAGGGTTCTGTCCATAAAAAAGAATCGTGATAGCAGAGTGCTCCAGGGACAGGCAGGCTTTATCAAATGCCTACGGGCACCTGTAGGTAAGGTTCTGTCTGAATAAAACAAAAACAGAGATCGAAATGTGGTTTTATCCCTAGAAGATTCCTATTAATCCATACAGTTCAATCTGGAAGTCCCAGATTCTCTGGAGAAAAAGATCAGATTTTTCATATCTGTAGAGGCCAAATGGTTGACATCTTTAGTTCTCTTCTTCCGTATTGCTTTTAAAAAGCCTAAGATATTTGGCAAGGCTGATAATGATGTTATAATCAAAGAAAACCTTTTTTTTTTTTTTTTTTTTGAGACAGAATCTCTCTCTGCTACCTAGGCTGGAGTGCAGTGGTGCGATCTCAGCTCACTGCAACCTCCACCTCCCAGATTCAAGTGATTCTCATTTCTCAGCCTCCCACGTAGCTGGGATTACAGGTTTGCACCACCATGCCTGACTGATTTTTGTATTTTTAGTAGAGATGGGGCTTCACCCTTCACCCTGTTGGCCAGGCTGGCAACTCATTAATATTTTAGTATTGTCCTCCCAGACTTGCTTCCTGTGTATTTGTGTACATATGTATTTGTTTTGTTTATTTGTTTAAGCAAAATGGGATCATATAGCTTTTAAAGAGGGGGTACAATTCAGTGACCGCTTAGTACATTTACAGTGTTGTGCAACTACCACCTCTATTTCCAAAATGTTTTTGTGACCCCCACGGGAAACCCTGTATGTACCCATTAAATACCCCGTTGTTACCCCCCGTCCCCGCTCATGGCAACCACCAATCTGTCTTGTGTCTCTGTGGATTTACCTATTCAGGATATTTAGTATAAAATAAATTATACACTATGTGGCCTTTTGTGCCTGTCTTTTGTGTAGCATAATGTTTTCAAGATTCATGTGCATTTTAGCATATATCAGTATTTCATTAATATTTATGGCTGAATAAGATTTCATTACATGTATATATATTTTCTCTATCCATTGGTGGACATTTCGTTAGTTTCTACCTTGTGGCTGTTGTGAAGAGTGTTGTTAACAATGTCTGTACATATATTTATTTACATACCCTGTTTTCAGTTCTTTTGGGTATATACCTAGGATTGAAATTGCTAGGTCATATGTATATTCTATATATAACTTTTGGAGAAACCACCAAACTGTTTTCTACGGTTACTCTACCATTTTACATTCCCACCAGCAGTGAACAAGAATTCCAAATCTTTGCCAACACTTGGTTATTTTCCAATGTTTTGATTATAGCCATTATGATGGGTCTCAAGTGATACCTCATGTGGTTTTGATTGCGTTTCTCCAATGACTGATGATGATGAGTGTCTTTTCGTGGGCTTCTTTGTCATTTGTGTATCTTTTTTGAGGACATGTCTATTCAAGTATTTGCCTATTTTTTGATTACGTTGCCTTTTTGTTGATGATTTGTAAGAGCTCTTTATGTATTCTGGATATTAGTTACCTATCAAAATACATGCTTTGCACATAGTTTCTCCCATTCTGTAGGTTGTCTTTTTACTTTCTTGATGAAGTCCTTTGATACACAAAAGTTTTGAATTTTGACAAAGTCTAAGTTACCTATTTTTCTTTTGCTCTTTGTGCTTTTGGTGTCATATCTAAGATTCCACTGTCAAATCCAAGGTCATAAAGATCGACCCCTGTGTTTTCTTGTAAGAGATTTATAGTTACTGCTCTTACATACTTGAATATTTGCACATATCAGGTAGGTGTTCAACATCATTCTTATGCATGTGGATAGCCATTTTTCCCAGCATTATTTGTTGAAGAGACGATTTTTTCAGTGGGGCTTGGATGGTGTGGCATCCTTTTCAAAAATCAACTGGCCATAAACATATGGGTTAATTTCCAGCCTCTCAATTCTATGTTACTGTTCTTACGCCAGTACAACAATGTTTTGATTACTATAGCTTTGTAGTAAGTTTTGAAATCAGGAAGCCTCAGTGTAACTTTGTTCATTTACAGTATGCTTTGGTTATCTGGGGCCTCTTGCAATTCCATATGAATTTGATGATCTGTTTTTCCATTTCTGTGAAAAAGCTGTTGGAATTTTGATAGGGACTGCTCTGAATCTGTAGATTAATTTATGTGCCATTACCATCTGGTTACTAGGTCTTCTAGTCCATAAACATGGATGCCTCTCCTTTTATTTTTGTCTCTAATTTCTCAGCTGTATTTTGTAGTTTTCAGTGTACAGTCTTTCACCTCAGTTAAATTTTTTTCCTAGGTACTTTATTCTTCTTGATGCTGTTGGAAATGGCATTGTTTTCTTAATTTCTCTTTTAGATTGTTCATTGCAAATGTATGGAAACACAACTGACTTTTTTGTGTTGTCTTGTACCCTGCAGCTTTGCTGAATTCATTTATTAACTCTACTAGCTTTCTTGTTCGTTTATGTATAGGATCCCATATGGTATCTATAAGTAGATCATTTTACTTCTTCCTGTCCAGTTTGCATGCCTTTTGTGTCTTTTTCTTGCCTAATTGCTCTGGCTAGGACTTCAAGTACAGTGTTGAATAATGATCGTGACATCAGGCATCCTTCTTTTGTTCCTGATAATTCATGGGGAAACCTTTCAGTCTTTCACCATTAAGTATCATGTGGCTCTGGGTTATGATGTTGACTCAGTTTCCTTCTATTCCTAGTGTTTTGAATGTTTTTTTTTTTTTTTCTCATGAAAGCCTGTGGGATTGTCTCAGATGCATTTTTCTGTGTCAGTTGAAATGGTCCTCTGGATTTTCTTTCCTTCATTCTTTTAATGTATATGTAATTGATTTTCTTATGTTGAACCATCCTTGCATTCCTAGAATAAGTACTACTTGGTCATGTTGTATATGTCTTTTAATATGTTGTTCAATTTTGTTTATTAGTATTTTATTCAGGATATTTGCATCTATATTCATAAATTGGTTTATTTTCTTGTGATGTATTTGTCTGGCTTTGGCGTCAGGGTAATGCTTACCTCGTAGAATGAGTTAAAAAATGTTTCCTCTTCTAATGTTTGGAAGAGTTTGAGAAAGATTAAGGTAAATTCCCCTTCAGATGTTTGCTAGAATTCACCAGTGAGGTAATCTAGTCCTAGACTTTTCTTTGTTGGGAGGTTTTTGATTTCTGACTCGATCTGTTGTTACAGATCTGTTCAGATTTTTCATTACTTCTTGAGTCAGGTTTGGTCATGTGTATGTTTCTGGGATTTTGTCCGTTTTCTCTACATTATCTAATTTGTAGGGATCATACAGTTCTGTAACCTGATTTTTTTTCCTCAGCAATGTACATTGATAGATTTCTTATTAAAGGTGGTGACTGTGTATGCTTGGGTAGCACTAGACTGTTTCCGGAATCCTGTCAGCTACATTATCTTGTCTAATCCTCTTTAGAGTCGTGTGAGGAAGCTGAGGCAGGGATTATTCTAGATGCAGAAATCCAGGTGTAGGGAAGTCACTCAGCTAGTGGTGAACACTTAGTTATCCAGACTTCTGGACCTGTGCTCCTGTGCCATGCTGTACAATAAGAAACTGAGAAATTAATATTGGTACAATGCCATCAGCTAAACTACAGACATTATTTGGATTTTCCAAGTTTTCCCGCTGATATCCTTTTTCTATTCCATGATACTGGTTTGTATTTAGTCATCATGTCTCCTCCAGTGTGTGACAGTGTTTTGATCTTTCCCTGTCTTTCATGATCTTGACACTTTGGAAATTTTTAGCCGCAGAAGAAACAAGGCAAAAGCAATCATTTATCTCACCATAACATGGCTCCTCACACTGGACTTTCTCCTGAGGCTGTGGCAGTAATCAAGGAGAGATGCTGGGACCTGGAGACCCGTGTAGGAAGGCCTTGCCCGAGTACATTATCACTGTTGCCGCTGAAGGTCAGGTCCCCTGAGGGGCTCCCAGACTTCCAAGTTAACAGTGTTCAAAGCTGCAGACTCAGTTAAAGATTCAACGTGGGGAAAAATGGAAAACAGGGAACAGACTTAGGTGATCTGATGATAATGATATTTTCTCCTACTTATTCCCAAAGTGGTATTTCATTTTATTATTTGAGTCACAAACGTAACACATATTGACTACAGAACAATCAGAAGATAGGTAAGCAGAGAAAAAAATCCTGTAAACACCCATAACCCAGTATGTGGATGCTTTTTCAGATATCCATGTATGTCTAAATTTGTATTTACGTTTGTTTTTTTGTTTTTTTGTTTTTTTTTTTTTTGAGGCGAAGTCTCGCTCTGTTGCCCAGGTTGGAGTGCTGTGGCGCGATCCCGGCTCACTGCAAGCTCCGCCTCCCGGGTTCACGCCATTCTCCTGCCTCAGCCTCCCGAGTATAGCTGGGACCACAGGCCCCTGCCACCACGACCGGCTAATTTTTTGTATTTTCAGTAGAGATGGGGTTTCACTGTGTTAGCCAGGATGGTGGCGATCTCCTGACCTCGTGATCTGCCCACCTTGGCCTCCCAAAGTGCCGGGATTATAAGCGTGAGCCACTGCACCCGGCCGTATTTTTTCTTATAAAAATGTAATCACATCATACTTTTTAAAGGAAAAATTCTATTTTCCTTTAATATATGACGTGCATGTTCCTGTTCTTCTGTGAAGATAAACCTCTGCATCATCATTTTTAACAGTGACTGGAGTTACCATTGCCCATCGCGTACTGTTAGAAAGTCTGGCTGTTTCCAACTTTTCCCTGTCTTGAACAAGCACCATAACAAACAACATTGAACTCATTACATCTTTAATTACTTTCTTAGGATAACTATGTTACGCCTTTTCATCATAGATATTCTTACTGATTCTCCGGGCTCTGCAGCTCTTGACCCGGCTGGTATTGTCTCTACAGCCAATTCCTCTGAAGTCAGCAGCAGCAAAGGTGAGGTGCTCAGGGCTGCCAGAGAAGAGCAGCAGTTGACAGGAAATTGTCACACTTAAAAAAATTGATCATTATTGTATTTTTAAGAGCTGATATTCATGGAGTGTGGGTTCTTTCGAGCCTTGCACATACCCTGTGTTAGGGAAGACTCGGGCACATGAGTGGGTATCTGGCAGCCTGAGCTTCATGTGTGCAGAGTGCTGCTTTTGTTTCTGTTGTGTAAATTGGTGGAATGGTGCCTGTCCTCACTTGCTCCGTGAAGTGCTGATGAGTGAAGTGCTGATGAGTGAAGCACTGAGTTTTGAGGTGCTCTAGGTTAGCTTCAAAAAGCTAAATGCTATACTCATTGGGGTATTGGCATTATCTGAAGCCTGATGGTCTAGAAGCTGATTTTCATAATATCTGTATTCTTAAAACTACAACTGTATTAAGTTCATACGTATTTGTTTGCAAAATGCATATGTCCGAGGTGGGTAGTAGTACTGCTGAGGAAACTGAAACTCGGAAGTTAAATAATTTACATAACCAATAAGAGTTAGAACTGGAATTCAAACCCATGTTTGACTGTTTCCAAATCCCATGTTCTTTTCTCTTTACCGTTAGGGTGAAAATAATTATACTGTGGCCTTATCTAAGATGCTACAGATTTTAGCCATACATGCATACAACCCTGAGGGATAGCTGGTTGATCACTGTCTGAGCTGGGGACATCTTGATGTATTGGTTCTCTAGCTAGTGAATTAACCCTATTAGATTACAGGATTTCTATCATATCCTTAGCAAAAGAGGGAAAAAAAGAAAGCAAAGCAAAATTTCTTACTCTGTTTAAGGGAAAGAAACCTTCCAAGGAGAGACTGACTGCGGATCTGGGAGGCTGCTCAGAAACTTCCAGCCAAGTTCTAGAAAACCACACCAAGCCAAAGACCAGCAAAGGAACCAAACAAGAGGAAACCTTTGCTAAGGGCACATGTAAGCGAAGTGCCAAAGGGAAGAGGAACAAGGGAGGCAGAAAGAAACAGAGGAAGCCCTCCTCCAGCGAGGAAGACCAGGGCCCAGGAGACAAGCAGGAGAAGGCAACCCAGCGACGTCCGCATGGCCGGGAGCGGCGGGTGGCCTCTAGGGTGTCTTATAAAGAGGAGAGTGGGAGTGATGAAGCTGGCAGTGGCTCTGATTTTGAGCTCTCCAGTGGAGAAGCCTCTGATCCCTCTGATGAGGATTCTGAACCTGGCCCTCCAAAGCAGAGGAAGGCCCTTGCTCCTCAGAGGACAAAGGCTGGGTCCAGGAGTGCCTCCAGGACCCAATGTGGGAGCCATCGTAAGGACCCAAGCTTGCCAGTGGCATCCTCAAGCTCTTCGAGCAGTAAAAGAGGCAAGAAAATGTCCAGCGATGGTGAGAAGGCAGAAAAAAGGAGCATAGCTGGTGTAGACCAGTGGCTAGAGGTGTTCTGTGAGCAGGAGGAAAAGTGGATATGTGTGGACTGTGTGCACGGCGTGGTGGGCCAGCCTCTGACCTGTTACAAGTACGCCACCAAGCCCATGACCTATGTGGTGGGCATTGACAGTGACGGCTGGGTCCGAGATGTCACACAGAGGTACGACCCAGCCTGGATGACAGTGACCCGCAAGTGCCGAGTTGATGCTGAGTGGTGGGCAGAGACCTTGAGACCATACCAGAGCCCATTTATGGACAGGGAGAAGAAAGAAGACTTGGAGGTAAGGCCTTGGCTGCCAGGGGCTCTTAAGACCTAGTCAGGTTATTAAAATTATTCCTGTTTTTGAGCACCTTATATATGCCCAGCACTATGTTGGGTGTTTTAGTGGGTTGTCTCATTTAATTGTCTCAGCAATATAAAGCTGGGGCAGTTGCTGCCTTAATTTTAGTGGTAAAAGTTGTGGAGATGAGAGATGAACTGCCATGGTGTTTGAGCCCAGGTCTGTGTGGCTTTGGAGCCTGTATACTATTAGTTATTGCCCAGTTATAAATTTGGAGCTTTAGAATAATTTATGCAAGTAATATAACTCAGACTGAGTGAAAGAAGGAATAGCCCATGGATATATTCTCCCCCTTCCCCCATCATGCGTGCATGTAAAGATGCATGTGCAAACACCCCTCATACATAGAACACTCACCTCCTGCGAAAGAGCGGTCTCGGAATGAGACAATATCTTCAGTCTATTGAGAAGGCAGATTGGGAGGCAGAGACTTCTAGAACATAACACAGCTATGTCACTTGATCCTAGAACCAGCACTTAACACCAGGAAGAGTGCCCGAGCCGCCTGTGTGTACGGCAGTGGTGGTGTTGGGTGGAGCTTGCCATTTCTACACAGGAACATGCCCAGATTTGTCACAGGTTTATTTCCAATCACTCAGGATAGGTAATTTGCAGATTTATTAATCATTTCCTATAGGAGTGCAGTGCATCCCACATTGAGTGTTTGCTCCAGGGGTGTTCTTGGTTCATTTTACCTAGTAATGACGGGTTAAGTGGAAATTATGCAGATGGTATTGTAACTAATGTACCTAAAGCTTAGTGGAAGCTGAGCATGCAGCGTCCTCTCCTACTATCAGCAACTCCACATTGCCAGTCCTTACTAGTCTGTTGGGGTTTTTGAAGAATGCCAAGGGCAAGCCTAAGAGAGCCTGGTGAACAGGGTGACTTAAAGCAGTGAATTGCCTACTGAGCAATGAGCAATCTTAAAGAAGGGCAGAGAGAACACTGTCAGAGTGGACCAAGAGAAAAGTCGCAGGGTGAGAACCACTGCTCTCAATTTCCTGTGAGAGCCGGCAGATAAGCTCACGCTCTTCTTAGAAGAGGATTGTCCCTTTGAGATAAGACCTTCTTACTGAAGAGCACTGTGTGTTTTTCTTCCTTGCAGACCTTTAACAGAGCAGGCGCTGATCTGCTGGGGCTGGGTTAGGCATCTAAGCATTCAAATAGGTTAGACAACTTTTTGAAGTTGCCACAAGCCACAGATTTATTTGATTCTTTTTAGCTTTTGATTCATCTGTGACCGACTTACTAGCCGGAGCTACAGATGTGATGTTACAAAAATCATTAGTGTTCATGAAACCTTGGATCCACCATCTGTTGTCAGAACAACTTAGTCTAAGGATCATCTCCCTCAAACTTCATTTCCTCTTCTAAATAACATGCTCAACTTTGTCTGTCTGGCCTTTGCAGTTTCAGGCAAAACACATGGACCAACCTTTGCCCACTGCCATTGGCTTATATAAGAACCATCCTCTGTATGCCCTGAAGCGGCATCTCCTGAAATATGAGGCCATCTATCCTGAGACAGCTGCCATCCTTGGGTATTGTCGTGGAGAAGCGGTCTACTCCAGGTGCGTGAGGCAGCCTGGTTGGCCTCAGGGGCTTCCTGGTGGTGTGGGATTAACAGCCTTCTTCCTGGGCAAAGGGTGCTGATGGGAGCTCATCTGACTTATCAGTGTTCTCAGGCTAAGCCAGTGTGCATGTGCTGTGTGTGTGTGATGTGTAGGAGAGAAGAAGATTTGAAAATTAAAACAGGGATTAAAAGAATGGCAGGGGAAAAACAGTTACAAAGGAAAAGAAAATACAAAGTAGGAAAAATAAAATTTAAGATAGGCAATATAAAACACGCCCCACAAATACAAGTTAAAAACATACAAAAGGAAGGAACAAAGGATTTGATTATGGAAGTTAAAAGTGAGTGGATTTTTCATGGGTACAGAGCTCTGTTTGGCATGAAAAAGTTCTGGAAATGGATGGTGGTAATGATTGTACAATGTTGTGAATGGACCTAATGCCACTGAACTGCACACTTAAAAATGGTTAAAATGGTATATTTTATGTGACTGTATTTTATACCACAGTAAAAAGAAATAGCTATAAAAGGAGTGGAATAAGAGCAAAAAATGAGTAAAATATATATAAAATTAAAATTGAAAAATGTTAATACAATTTTGAGGTAAGAAAAAAATAGATACAGGAATTTTGAGAAATGGGAATAAAAAGCAAGTAAAATAAGTGATTTTAAAAGAGATGGGATGTACAAGACCAAGAAATAGGAGATGTTCTTAAATGAGAAAACAGGAAGTAAAGAAAAGAGAGAGAGGAAGCATAGGGAAACCCACATGAGAGTGGGTGATTTGAGTCCTCCCACTGGGGATGACTTCCTGCTTGTCAGCCCCCCGTGGGAGTCATACTGGACCCTCTCTTCAGGGCTCTGCCCTGTCTTGGAGCTTTTTGTTTGATGTCGGGGGCACACCGCCCTGGGCAGGGGCAGGGCTTTGTTGTTCTGGGACTTTAGCACCCAGCAGTCAAAGGCAGCAGGGGGCCTGGGCTGCCCTGATAGAGGCTTCCTCTTGTGGGTATGTATAGTAGTTGGGAGAAAGACTGTTGGGATGAGAGTGCTGGCGTCGTCCAGGGGCACCATGTCAGTGATAGAAGGAAGCATTAGAGGTGCATATTTATTGATTTTTTTTAATTGTGGCAAAATATATGTAACATAAAATTTACCATCTCAACCTTTTTAAGCGTACAGCCTACAGCATTAAGCACCTTCACACTGTCATCCAGCCATCACCACCATCCATCTCCAGATTTCTTTTCCTCTTCCCAAACCAAAACTCCATCCCCATCAAAAACTCCCCATTCCCCTTCTCCAGCCCTGCACCCACCATTCTCCTTTCTGTCTCTGAGTGTGCCTACTATAGGGACCCATGTAGGTGGAATCATGCGGTATTTATAGTCATATTGTGACTGGCTTATTTCACTTAGCATAATGTCCTCAGGGTTCATCCATATTGTATGTAGCATGGGTCAGAATTTCCTTCCTTAAATTTTAGGCTGAAACTCCATTGTGTGGGCAGACCACATTTTGCTTGTGCCTTCATCCATCAATGGGCACTTGGCTTGTCTCCACCTTTTGGCTGTTGTGAATTATGCTGCTGGGAACATGGGTGTGCAGATAACTTTTGAAGATTCTGCTTTCAGGTTTTTTTTTGTTTTTTTTTTTGTATATACCCAGTGCAATTACTAGGCCAGATAGTAATTCCCATCATTTTTTAGGAACCACCTTACCATTTCCACAGCAGCTGCACCCATTTTACATTTTCACCAACAGTCCACAAGGTCTCCACTTTCTCCACATCCTCACTGACACTTGTTACTTTCTGTGTTTTGGCAATAGCCATTTTAACGAGTGTGAAAAGGTTAGAAGTTCACATTTATTCCAAGAGGACTGTGACCACTTCCCTGCTGTTTTCCTTAGGAAGATGTCCAGATGCTGCCTGTCAACCCCTAAGACCCCTTTTTTACCCGCTCCTGTCTGAAGACTACACCATTACATAATCACTCCTTTGGGCAGTCAAAGATGTTCCCCCCGCCAGTGGGAGCATGAGTGGAGCTTTGAGCTCTGGCAGGTTGATGCTACTGGCAGAAGCGCTGCTCTGGCACTCAGGAAATGTCCGGTCCTCCCAGCAACCATGTGTGGTAGAAAGGACAAGCTCACTGTCCCTAGTTGATAGGCGAGGACACAGGTGCTCCTTGACTTAGGATGAGGTTGGATCTCCATAAACCCGTTGGAAGCTGAAAATAGGATATCCTAAGTTGAGAACGCATTTAATATACCTAACCTGCCCTAACTGGACCTCATGTAGGTGGAATCATATGGTATTTATGGTCATTTTGTGACTGGCTTATTTCACTTAGCATAAAGTCCTCAAGGTTTACTCCTGTTGTATGTAGCATGGGTCATAGCTTAGCTGAGCCTCCCTTAAACGTGCTGAGAACACATTAGCCTCCAGTTGGGTACAGTTATCTAACACAAAGCCTATAATGAAGTACTGAATATCCATGTAATTTATTGAATACTGAAAATGAAAAAGAGAATAGTTGTATGGGTACTTGAGATACAGTTTCTCCCGAGTGTATATTGCTTTTGCATTATCATAACATTGAAAAATCTTGAATCAAACCATTGGACGTTGGGCACTATCTGTACTGAGGCTCAGGAAGGTAAAGTGACTTGTCCAGATGGCCCAGCCAGGAAGTGGCACAGGTAAGATTCAACCTCCATCCATTGTGCTGTGCTGAAATTCAGCCTCAGATTCCCTTGTGGATAAGGGCCTGAACCTGCACTAGGAGGAAATGGGGTGCCCTTGCTCATTGGAGCCACTCCCTGGACAGAGTGAAGGGGTGCAAACTAACTAGATGGGCGTGCCCTATTAAAGATGGCTTGGCAAGGGAGGGGTTGAGCCTCATTGGAAAGTAGACTTGCACGGCTTTGGTGAGTTCTTAGCTCTGGAGAAAGAGTGAAGCCAGAGGATCTTTGCCTGCAGGGATCATTTGACTGTTCCATGTGCATGTGTCTTGATTCTGTGATAACTTATTAGCTTATTATAGTTGGTTTCTCTGCAGCCTTCCTTTGGGTTCACTGTCCTCTCCTCTGGACACTTCCCCCCACATGGTGTTAATAGCAGATCAGAGCCTCAGCAGGTGCTTGCTTGGTGGTGGTAGTAAACGTGAGTAACTGCCTGCACACAGTGGCCTTTACCCCATCCTGATAGGCTGTAGCTGGAGCTCTCACAGGCTCTGGACACCAGAGGAGAGGAAAACCTATAAAGGGGAGGAGTGGTGGAGGCAAGGCACGAAGACTGCAGAGTAACTCCATGCAGATTAGGGTTTGTAAGTGGACACATCCCCCAAAAGACAGGCAGTCCACATTCAAGGCTGTTTGGCTAGCACAGCTCCTTTGGGCCCCCTAGGAACCTGGCCTGCTTCAGGGTGGCAGAACCTGAGGAGGGAGCCTGCAGGGCCCCTCTGAGTTTGCCTTTGTGTCCTGTGTTGGTTCCGCAGGGATTGTGTGCACACTCTGCATTCCAGGGACACGTGGCTGAAGAAAGCAAGAGTGGTGAGGCTTGGAGAAGTACCCTACAAGGTAACTGGAGCTGGAGGGTCCCAGCGGGGAGTGGTGACGCAGGACTGTAGCTGAGTGGGAGAACCGGGGGCAGAGAAGTGATGATGAGGAGGCTCCCAGTCCTGCCCAGGATCCTGATCAGAAATGTCTCACTTTCTCGGTTTGAGCAGGATTCAAGGAGGAGAGAAACGTATCTTTAAATTGTCTTATTAATAAGACATTTGTAAGAAATTGATCTTCCAAAACAGAAAAGAAATCTAGGCCAAATAGTAGGCCTCAGACTCCTTATGTGAGTTCAAAGGTTCTACAGGTTGGAATTGAGTTACTAGATGGTCCTGGGAGGTCAAAGCCCTGCTTTATAGCAGCGCGTTCTCCAGTCAGATTATCCTTCTGTTTGGCAGTTCTCCGAGCATTTTGCTTGTGTGTGTTCTCTGTTGCCTCAAAAGCCATAGGAATTGGCATTATGATGCCCATTTTACAGATGAGAAAACTGAAGCTCAGGGCAAGTGATTTGTCCAAGTCCCCACAGTTAGAAAAATGGCAGAGCAGAGCCCAGGTGAGAATCCCAGGGTCTGCCTTGAAGCCAGTGCCCCTTTCACACTGTGCTGCAGTATTGTTAGATTTGGTTGCTCTTGAGGAACACGAACCGAGCGAGGTCCCACAGAGACTATTCACAGGACACACAGCTCAGTATGACCAGCAGAGTAAAGTGGCCGATCACAGAGACCATTTACTTCTCATCAGACCCCAGGAGTCCTTCGGAGTTGCAAGACTCCGGGAAGCTGGGTGGGGAGTGGAGGGGCCTCCGCTTAGTGGGAAGGGCTGTAGGTGCTGGTCGCAGTCACTGCCAGCAACAGGCTGGAGTGTGTGATGCCCCTTGCCCGGGCCTGCAGGGCTGCTGAGGATTTTCTCTGCACCATCTCACCTGTCTTTCATGCTGGAACCAGCATGGCACTGTCCAGTTGAAATGTAACATGAGCCACACATTTAAATTTTTTAGTAGCTACATTAAAAACCAAAAACAGTTGGAATTTTAACATTAAAATATATCCAGATATATCTAAAATACTATTTCAGCAGTAAGAAATATTTTAAAGTGTTGAGATACTTAAATCCATTTTGTTCCTAAGTCTCTTTAATCCTTTGTGTTTTTGACTTTCTAAATCCATTTTGTTCCTAAGTCTCTCTAATCCTTTGTGTTTTGACTTTCTGTACCTCAGTTCAGACCAGCCACATTTCAGGTGTGCAGTGGCCACATGTGACTGGTGGCTGTCATGGTAGCACAGTTCTGGAATAATCCCAAATCTCTCAAATTTACCCCTTGTTCTGATCCCCACCACCCCAACTCCTGCCTCAGTATCTTTTGCTTGGGCAACAGCCACAGCCTCCATTCCAGCCTGAATCCATTCCCCTGTCAGTCACTAGGCTCTTTCTGTGCGTTCCAGCCATCCTTGCCCCACCCTGGCCAGCGACTTTAGTCCGAGTCCCGCACCCTCCCCATGGTGCAAAGTGATGTTCTGGTGCTTACTGCCTCTGCATTCCAAAGGACTTCAGAGGCCCCAGGTCCCAGTGTTCTCCCACCTCTGTGTCCTTTGGGGTCCAGCCCTGTTCTCTTGGGCAACTCCTTGCCCCTTTAAGCCTCTGCTCAGGCAGTACCTGTTCTGAGCGGCCTTTTTGCCTCCACTGTCCTCAGGGCTGGGCAAGGGCTTGCCTCTGAGCTCCCATTCCACCCTGTACTCTTCACGCTGAGTTGTAGCTGTGTCTCTTCCCCTGCAGGAGCCTGAGGTCCTAAGAGAAAAGACTGTCCCTGCTCTGTCCCTCCTTCATGACTGGGTCATGGCCTGGTCTCCAAGAGATCCCAGTGGAAGTTTACTGAACAGTGCTGGGTGAATGGCTTCTCAGAAAGGGATGGTTGTTGGAACTCAGAGTCCCTCAGTCCCTGAAGCGGTGACAGAGAGGGTGCGCGCAGAGACAGTGGCAGGAACGGACATGAGAGCTCACAGGCCACCCCCAACCTGGGGAATGGTTTTTCACATTTTTAAAGGGTTATAAGAATGAGAAGAATAGGCCGGGCACGGTGGCTCACACCTGTAATCCCAGCACTTTGGGAGGCCGAGGTGGGTGGATCACAAGGTCAGGAGATCGAGACCATCCTGGCTAACACAGTGAAACCCTGTCTCTACTAAAAATACAAAAAATTAGCCAGGCGTGGTGGCGGGCGCCTGTAGTCCCAGCTACTCGGGAGGCTGGGGCAGGAGAATGGCATGAACCCAGGAGGCGGAGCTTCCAGTGAGCTCAGATTGCGCCACTGCACTCCAGCCTGGGCGACAGAGCGAGACTCCGTCTCAAAATAATAATAAGAAGAATAAAGAATATGTGATGGAGGCCACACATGACCCTTTACAGAACAAGCTTGTGGGCTCCTGCACTGGAGGAAGTCTGTATGTCCAGGCCCAGGGGCCAGCCCTCAGCTGCATGCCCATGCCTGCCTCCTCTAAGAGTTACGTGACTCTGTCCTTGCCGGTCCTGTACCCCTCTCACCACGTCACTCCCCAGGGAAGATCTTGGCCTTGGCCACTGCACTCTGTTGGGGAGCACACTGGGGGTCCTGAACTGTCAGTGCTTTCCAGGGCATGTGAGCAGACATAGGTTATATGTTGAGACATAGGCTCTTCTGATGGCCAGTTACCTAAATTGTAAATCCTGGTTCTTGTCACTTACCAGCCATCGGCTCTTAAGACCTAGCTTGTGGGTTTGTTGAAAAAATTAAATAAGTTAATGACATATAAAGCACTGAAGATAGGCTGGGCGCAGTGTTTCATGCTGTAATTCCAGCACTTTGGGAGGCCAAGGCAGGTGGATCATTTGAGGTCAGAAGTTTGAGACCAGCCGGGTCAACATGGTGACACCCCATCTCTACCAAAAATATAAAAATTAGCTGGGCATGGTGGCAAGTGCTTGTAGTCCCAGCTACTCAGGAGACAGGCATGAGAATCACTTGAATCCGGGAGGTGGAGGTTGCAATGAAGTGAGATCACGCCAGTGCACTCCAGCCTGGGCAACAGAGTGAGTCTCCATCTCAGGGGTGGCGGCGGGGGAAGCACTGAGAATAGTGCCTGGGACAGAGAACGCTCTATAAATGTTAGCTAGTGCTTGTAGTAAGAAAAGGGGAGCAGCCGGACACAGTGGCTCACGCCTGTAATCCCAGCCCTTTGGGAGGTTGAGGCGGGTGGATCACCTGAGGTCAGGAGTTCAAGACCAGCCTGGCAAACATAGTGAAACCCCGTCTCTACTAAAAATACAAAAATTAACCGGGCGTGGCGACGGACACCCAGCTACTTGGGAGGCTGAGGCAAGAGAATTGCTTGAACCCAGGAGGCAGAGGTTGCAGCGAGCCAAGATTGCACCACTGTACTCCAGCCTGGGTGACAGAGTAAGACTCCATCTCAAAAAAAAAAAAAAAAAAAAAAAGGGAGAAAAAGCACCCCAGCTGGTGGCGTGTTGTGAGGGTTCACTGGGTACCAGGCATGCAGCACTGAGCATGGTGCTGGGCCTGGTGCCAAGGAACTGGTCACCTTTGTTGTCAACTGTGGCTGTGTCCTCTGGTGCAGATGGTGAAAGGCTTTTCCAACCGTGCTCGGAAAGCCCGACTTGCTGAGCCCCAGCTGCGGGAGGAAAATGACCTGGGCCTGTTTGGCTACTGGCAGACAGAGGAGTATCAGCCCCCCGTGGCCGTGGACGGGAAGGTAAGGGCAGCATCAGAAGGGGTCAGGACCAGGCTCCCTTGTTCCCCTGCTGGCCAAATCCTGACGTGCTTACCCGCCACAGGTGCCCCGGAACGAGTTTGGGAATGTGTACCTCTTCCTGCCCAGCATGATGCCTATTGGCTGTGTCCAGCTGAACCTGCCCAATCTACACCGTGTGGCCCGCAAGCTGGACATCGACTGTGTCCAGGCCATCACTGGCTTTGATTTCCATGGCGGCTACTCCCATCCCGTGTGCGTGAGGGGCCTTCGATGGAGGCTAAACAGAGGGATGGGGAGGGGTGGCTCCAGGGATGGGGATGGAAAGCTGGCATGGGGCTACTGGGAGTTGAGGCCTGGCGGCTCCAGTTTTCAGGATGTTACACTGGATTTGCAAAGTCAGTGCTTTACCAATTCTGGCTTGCCTCCAGAGGGAACAGAGACAATGAAACTGGCATCCTAATGCTGAATTAAAACATTCTTCCCAGGTTCAGGGACTCACAAGCTAGTGAGCAAAAAACAGTGTCCTTCCTGGGCAGCTGCCTGGTTAATGAGCTCTGTTCTCTGATGGGCAAGGCTGGATAGGGGCTTTCACCCCAGTTTTCTTAGGCAGAATCTGGGGAGGATTTTCCACAGGCCTGCCTTCTGCACGGAGGGTGTGGGACACTGGCTGACCCGCGACATCCTTCAGGACCCTTGGTGCTCAGATGTGGCCCACTGTCTTCTGCAAACCAGGGAGGGAGGAGAGGCAGAGCAGGCAGCAGGCTCAAGGGTTGACATCGCGTTGTGTCCCCACAGGACTGATGGATACATCGTCTGTGAGGAATTCAGAGACGTGCTCCTGACTGCCTGGGAAAATGAGCAGGCAATCATTGAAAAGAAGGAGAAGGAGGTAAGCACGTAGGCAGCACTGAGGGACAGCAGAAGCAGGAAGCAACACTCAGCGAGTGACTTCTTCCCTCCCCAGGCCGCGTCGTGTTCCCAGGCCCTTCCCAACCCTCTCTGACATCATGACAGGCACCCGAGGGAGCGAGCACTGAATACAGCAGGCTCCTGCCCACCCCGCAGACTCACTGTCACTGTCCCTGAGGAGCCTGGGTCCGGGCTCTGGGATCTACTGCCCCTGCTGCCCACACCTGCCTCTGTCTTGAATCGCCTGTGTCCAGGTTCTGGAAGACCTCACCTACTAAAGATTTTGGAGTCAGTAATGATTAAAAAGTTTTCTGTTTTTGTGGCTTTCAGGTATAGTACATCACTTGGTAAATCAGATCAATTTTTTGGAAGTGAGACTTGGTTAAGGAGAGGCTGTATCTTAACTTAAAATCGTGTATATATCTATCTGTCTTTATGTTCAGTTTCCATCTTAATATTTTTCCTGAAAATGTCAGTGCTTAAGACTTTTCTCCCACTTCATTTTTGCCTGCAGAAAAGGGAGAAGCGGGCTCTAGGGAACTGGAAGCTGCTGGCCAAAGGTCTGCTCATCAGGGAGAGGCTGAAGCGTCGCTACGGGCCCAAGGTCAGTGCAGGTTCTTTGCAGAGAAGACAAGCCCAGGGTCAGTTTCCTGGAGATGCAGCTCAGAAAGGCCTGGCCCAGATTCTGCCCCAGCATCACGTCAGGGATAGCTTTGTGTTAGGACACCTCCGTCCTCTGTCTCCAAGTCCCCTTGTTTTTACCTTGTTGGGAGAGGTGTCCCTGGAGTGAGGCCTCAGCTGGCTCTTCTGCCCCAAGCCCTGTCCCAGTGTCCCCGTTTCTACTGTCCGCATGAGCGTTGCCGTGGGTCTGATTTGGTGCTGAACACATAGGGAGAGCCAAGTGTCCTGCATTTGGGGCACCCTTCCGCCTTCCAGTGTTCCCAGTGCCTGTGACCATCCTGCAGGCCTGCAGTGGCCTGCTCAGTACCTCTCACAGCACCTGCCATGTCCCAGGCCAGGCTTGGATACAGGCGTGAATATGACATGCAGCCCTCAAGGGGGCCCCTCCCTGAGGCAGACGGACCCGAGGCCCAGTTACATGGTGTAGTCAATGCTGTGTCAGACACAGCAGAAACTGCTCTGGCATGTTTTGTTCCCTCTCTCCAGCCCTCTGTGCTGCCTGTTTGCCTTTAAACATTTTTTGTCACACTCCTCATTCCAGTCCCTCTGGTGGACAAAAAGCCCTTCATCTGGCTTTATGTTCTGACTAGCTCCTTGCCACCTTCTCCATCCAAACCCTCCCCAGCCTTCCCAGCTGGTAGAGTGCCGCCTCAGATCTTAGGGCTCCGAGGGCTGAACTGTGCATCTGGCCCGTTCAAAACATCATGTGCTTTTGTCCAGAAATGAGATAGCAAATGCAAAGCACGGATCACAGGCATCCCCAGATGCAGCATTGTGCTCCTAGAGGGCAGCTTCCTGCCCGGCCATCATCCTTGTGTTCCCCAGCACTCAGCTCATAGCAGGTGCTCTGGTGTCTGCTTGGATGCACCCCAGGCTAGGGAAGGCTCAGTAAGAAGAGTCTGGGCTCTCTTCCTGCCCCGTCCCATGCCCTCGTCCTCCCAGAGTTACAGAGTTTAGGGCAGGCTGGGAACTTGCTGCCTCTTCATGGAGCTTCCTGGTATCTGGTTACTGACCCTGGCCTGTGTCCTCCCACCACTGCCACCTGACCAGAGTGAGGCAGCAGCTCCCCACACAGATGCAGGAGGTGGACTCTCTTCTGATGAAGAGGAGGGGACCAGCTCTCAAGCAGAAGCAGCCAGGATACTGGCTGCCTCCTGGCCTCAAAACCGAGAAGATGAAGAAAAGCAGAAGCTGAAGAGTGCGCCCAGGAAGACCAAAAGGGAAAAGAAGGCAGCAGCTTCCCACCTGTTCCCATTTGAGAAGCTGTGAGCTGAGCACCCACTACGGGGGCGCCCACCACTTGCTGCTGCCCCGCTACAGGCCCCACACCTGCCCCAGGCATGCCCAGCCCCCGGTGGTGGGGGCTTCTCACTGAGAAGGCAAACTGAGGCAGCATGCACGAGGCAGGGCCAGGGGAGAGGAGACCAAGCTGAGGAGGTGCTGCAGGTCCCGCCTGGCCCCAGCCCTTGTCAGATCCACCCAGGGTGAAGCCTTCAAAGCTTTTTGCTACCAAAGCCCACTCACTCTTTGAGCTACAGAACACTGTGGCGGGAGATACTGTCCTTCCTCCTAGACCTGTTTTTTCCATCTTTGGAAACATCAGTTTTTGTATGGAAGCCACTGGGAGATTTCTGGATGGTGGTGCATCCATGAACGTGCTGATCCTTTCTTCCAGTTAGAGTCTTCATCTGTCCGACAAGTTCACTCGCCTCGGTTGTGGACCTAGGACCCTTTATCTGCAGGCCGCTTACCTTCCCCTGAGTCAGGCTTACTAATGCTGCCCTTGCTGCCTCTTTGCAGTAAGGGAGAGAGCAGAGAAATACAGGTCATCTCAGATTATGGAATTGCTGGGATCTAGTTTTCCAAGTAACATTTGCGGTGGCAGAAGCCTACAAAAGAGCTAAAATCAGGAAAGAAAAGGAAAAATACGAATTGAAAATTAAGGAAATGTTAGTACAATAGATCAGTGTTAAACTAGATTCTATTCATCACTAGATAAAATATAAAGCTATCTGTACTAAGGAGAAATAACTTTTATAACATTTTGAGAAAAAAATAAAGCATTTATCTAAAGATTTGGCTCTATATTTTCTTTCAGATTTTTTTTTTAAGATGGGGTCTTACTGTGTTGCCCAGGCTGGACTCCTGGGCTTGAGTGGCCCTCCTGAGGGCTTTACCTCAGCTGGCCCTCACAACCACTGTGTGTGGTGGAAAGGCATTGTTCGGGAAACAGTCCCAGCTCCCCAGGACTGCAGGCACCCACACACCACTGCCTGTGCCCAGCTTCTTTCAGATTTACATCAGTAAGAACACCCAGGTAACAGAGCAGTTTGTTCATACGTTGAGACAGCATGAAAGATTCTATTTTGTTTTCATGTAGGCTGGGAATTCATTACATATGGAATTTTTCTGTGTTTAGTGAAGAGATCTTAAGAGGAGCCATTAAAAATCTGAGTCACTTTTATCCAAGGGAAACAAACAAAACACTTGGGTTATGACTCATATGTGGCAAGAGGCTGGCTGGAACCTCTTGTTGAGAAACAGACTGGGGTTGCTATGGAAACTAGTCTCAGACTTCCTCACCAGAGCTCGGCCCTCCTAGAGGCAACTTGTTTTCTGTTTTTTTTTTTTAATATTATTTTTTGAGACAGGGTTCCACTGTGTTGCCCAGGCTGGAGTGCACTGGTGTGATCTCAGCTGACTGCAGCCTCCCCCTCCAGGCCTCAAGCAATCCTCTCACCTCAGCCTCCTGAGTAGCTGGGACCACAGGCATGCACCACCACGCTTCCCTTTCTGGGGTTTTGGATGATGGCATTGCCATGTCTCTGCAGAAATAACTTCAGGCATGTGTCAGCTACTAGGAGGCATTATGGAAATGAAATAGTAGGTTCTGAGAAACAGAAGAGTAGGTTTGGGAAAGTTACCACTCACCTGCTTGTAAAAAATAAAGCACTCAAACTGCTAGCATCAGAGTGGGCAGTTAGCAGCCTGCCTTCAGAACAGGAAGCAAAATGAAAGAAAAATGAATGCCGCATGCGTCAGGCATTCTATTGGCTTTGTCTCATTTGGCCCTCACAACAACCTTGTGAGGTGGACAAGTGTTGTTCCCATTGTATTGTTGAGGGAACAGACTCAGATCTTTGATTTGCCCAACATCACAGCCAGTATGTAGCAATCTTTGGCTCAGAACTCAGGTCTGCATGCCAACTCAGGATGCCTTTGGCAGTGGAGCACACTGCTGCCCCTTCCACTTCTTCTAGCACATGCTGAAGATGCATGAAACCTGAGTCATTCATTTTAAATCAAGCCAAAACAAAGTGGCCTTCAGTATGGAAGGCATCTGAGTGCTAGAGATACTGAGTTGCCCTTAAAAAAGAAATTAACCACTAAAAGCTCCAATTTCCACAAAATTCAGTTCTCAATAAATCCTATGGCTGAATTCTTTATAGAAATTTCAGAAAGAATGCCAAAAAAAAAAAAAATCTGAAACTAAAAACAGGATGTTTGTCAAAGTCCCACACCAGAAGATATTTAGAAATTTATTTCAAAATTTTTAACCAAAAATACAATATTACAAATTTGGTTTTCCAAAGCTTTCAAATTTTTCTTAACATTATTTTTCTCTTTAAGAACACTTTTGAAGTTGGCAGTAATTTAAAATCCTTATTAGAAAAAAATTAAACCAAAGCCCAAGGATTTTGCATTTAGTCATCATATAGGTATACTGCGTGTTTTCCAAAAGCATCCTTTAAGAGTTTGGAGATTTGATGAAATTGTTCACGTAATATTGCTCACGTAATAAGCAGTTAGTGAATACTACTGTATCCTAAACCCAGATAAGTCATCTTGGGCTGGCTGTGTTTTTCATGTGAAGAAACTCATTTATAGCACAGGCACCCCAGGCCAGTAGAGATGATTACAGATCACTGGTTTCAGAAGTTCTGACCCCTTATTCAGCTACCAAATACTTAGTTGCTAAAGGAATTACTTCCAGCAGGCACAAAACGGTTTCTGAATATGACAGAAAGGGTATACAAAGAAGCATTTAAGGCATCTTGGTTACAACATACTTTAACAGGGTGCGAGAGTAGTTGGGGAACTCAGAAATTCTGTGACTTAGGTGTGGGTGGATCTTATTTAGGAGGACTAAAGCTATGGACACAACACATGAAAGGACCACTCAGAAGCAGCCATAGGAGGCCCAGGTGCCCACGTCGAAAGTACTCCCGGGTGAAAGCAGCCAGGCAGGCATGGGCACTGTACAGCAAGCCTCAGGCCTCAGTTCTTGATTGTGGTTGACTGGGGGTCACCATGAAGGTGCCCATTTAGTATAAAGCTTCCAACCTTTTCTCTTAATCTTTTCTTTAATCTTTTAAACCATCTTCAAGTGCACAGGGGAGTTCCTGATGCCAGAGGATAAAAGCAGCTGCCTTCTCCACCCTCTCCTCCCAGAGTGAAAACAAATCCTTTCGCTAATACTTGTTTCAAAAGCATCCGTTGTAAAGCTTCTCAGTGACACAGAATACTGAAAGGTAATTTTTTATCAGTCAAACCACATACCCAATTTAACACCTTTCGGTGCTCTGAATTCAACGGACAGACTGAAGGGTGTTTCCTGGAACAGTCTGAAATATTAATCATTCAAGTGTTTTTGTTGTTGTTGTTTTTAAATCTTATTTCAGAAAACTTCCTCTTGGGGTAGGAAAGTACATACAAAGCAGCAAAGTAATGAAGAAAACCTTAAATAGGACCTTCAGACATCCCACACACTACAAAGATTCTACCAAGCCATAAGATAAGTGTGAAGCCCAACGTACGTCCAGCTTTTCTCCTCACGACATCTTCAGTGTTTCTTCTCTTTTAAACACCAAACCAGGTTCCAGCCACAGACTATGTTTTGGGTGTACCTGCTTTGTGGGGTCCATGCCCAGTGTGTCTGCTGGTGACCCAGGACTCAGCAGTAATGACTAACGGCCGCCCTTCAGGATCACAGAAGTGCTTGGTGGTGGTGGCGGCAAAGCCTGGCACTTGTGTGCAGTGATGAGAAGCAGCACGCGGCAAGGCTGAGCCCTTTATCAGCAGGCCTCTGTAGAGCATCTGCGTCGTCAGCTGCCTGTGGGCTGAGTGGCTGGCCATACGCACTCAGTCCAAGAGAGAGGAAGGAAACAGCAGAAGAAGCTGTCAGGTGGCCATTCATGAGCTGCTGCTGCCCACCAAAGCTGCTTACTGGCAAGAAGAGGTGTGGGGAAGACATGAGCTGGTGAACACCAACCCAGCGCACATGCTGCCAAGTCTGGCCCCTGAAGAGGAGAGAGGGTGCAGAGTCCAAAACCAACCGGAGCTCCTGCTCTGGCATGGAGCTGGGTCAGAGGTGAGGGACGACCTGGATCCTAGGGCTCACGCAGGTGTCGGGCGGGTGCCAGGGTCTTTTCACTCCAACTTTTTGGCCGGCACCCGTGTCCGAGCAACAATGATGGGCACCAGCGCCAGGCCGGCAATGAGGAGGGCCCACAGGGGCCGGTAGAAGAGCCAGCCAGCTGCCACGGTCAGCAGGGTCAGCGAGGTGGCCATGCAGAAGGCAAAGGCTTTCAGGCCAATGTTGACCAAGTCTCGAAAGACAGGAAACCAGTCCACTGTGGAAAGGAGAAAGGTGATGAGGTGCCACCCACTCTACACCTCACCAGCTCAGCACATCGCTTCTGCCCCTAGGTGAGGATGGGCCCCTGTTGCTACGTGCGTGAGGAGGGGAGCGGGTCAGTGGGGTGGAAGGCAAGGAGCCTCGTTCTGAGAGCTGAGGGAGCACAGGAGCCTCTGCTATGAGCTGCGTGGCTGGGCACATTGAGCCACCCACTCTACCCTGCTCCGGGGAGAGGATGTGGCAGTGCTTTGTAAACTTTAATACTATATGTGGAGAGTAGTCTGAGGCCAGCATAAAGACATTTGCCTGTAATGCTGGAAATACCCTGGGTCCTGCACACTCATACAAGAGGCTGTGGATGGAGCCTCCTGTGCCTATTTGGGCCTCTCAGCCATTCCTAGAGGTGTTGGTTCATTCATGCAGCAGGATGTTACTGATTATTTATGTGCCCAGCACTGAACCGGCAGGTACTAGAGGAAATAAATTAGCCTAAGCATTGGCTTTTCCTCAAGGATCTCACAAACTATTGGTCCAATAGGAGAAAGCCCAGAATCCAGCTAAATTCGTAAGGAATTACCCTATTCTTGCCTTGTATGACCTCTCCAGGTTGGCATTCCATAGCTGATGTCCACTCAGGTAATCTTCGCTCAGTTCCCGGGCCACCAGTGGTCTGGAATCACTGGGTTTGCAGAGCAAGCCCTGGTGCCCACCATGCCTGCAGCACACCCTGCAAGCCACCACCTGGCCTCATCCTGGTCTGTTCCCATACAGCACTGCTACTCAGCCCTTATAATAAGCAAAGTTCATGTTTCTGAATGTTGCCTATGTGTTAGACACCACGCGCACCATCTCATGAAGCGCTCATGCCCACCCCATAAGGCAGGTACTCTTCTTAACTCCATTTTGCCCACGGGGTCACTGAGGCTCAGGGAATTAAGAAACTCACCCCAAGTCCTCCTGTTAGAAAGTGCCAGAACCAGGATTTGAACTCAAGACTGTCTGGGCCCAGAGCCTGGGCTCTGAGCCGCTGCTCTAATCCTTGTCTGTCTCTCTTACTGTGGAGTCTTACACGTGGCGGTCAGTATTTATCAAACGCATGGGGGAGTGTGCGCTTCCCTGCTGCACTCGCGACTCACCCCACCCACCCTGGGGGTCCCTCCACGCTCTAAGTCTGTCCTGAGTCTGGCTCATTCCAGACATAGAGTGAATTGGGATCACAGACGTCAGAGATCCAAAGAAGGGCCCACTGAGACAGACACGAGGAAACCAAGGCTCCAGAAGGGAACTGGTCTGCCCAAGGTCACATAGGCAAGAAAGAGGATTCCGCTTAAATGCTGATGTCTCCCTAATGTGCCCACCATGTCACTAGTCTTTCTGAGCACAATTCAGCTGTCCAAAGAAAGGCTCAAGGAAAGAGTCCTTCCCTTCCTGAGCC